AATGATGGCCCAGGACCCTGGCCAAATAGCTGACATGCACGGCTTCCCTGGTCAGCTCAGCACCGGGTTTGATCCGTCTCATTACACCAGTCATTCAAATAATGGGCAGCTATGGGAGCTCTGGTAAAGCTGCAACTAATACAGATGCCAAAGTATACATCATAGTGGTTCGTTCGCTTTGTCTGCTTAGTATGCGCAGGTGTTCAGGGCTGAGAAAGTCAACACATAAATCTAAAATATATGTTTACATTTATTAAAAAAGCATTGTAATTTATGGCATGCTATAAAAGTCTTCAAAATACAACTTAATATCCGGAATTAACAGATGATCTAAAAATACATCATACAATATAATGCTGGGTTATTTTTGTAATATTTTCAAATAATAATAAATATAATATAAAAATATAAAATAATTGAACACTAAATAAACAAAAGCACAAACACATCAAGCATATTTTACTCTGCTTTAGTTCATACGTGAGAAACTGAAGAAACTTAGATAAACTTAGATAAAGCGACACCAATAAAAGGATGCGCCGATCTACATTAGCAATAACAATATATTTTCAAGCCGGTAAAAACAGCATTAAAGCCTGTCTACCGAGATCGGAACAGAACAATAGCTCCTTATTCTCATTCAGATGAATGCATGGCAAGGAGAGAGAGAGAGAGAGAGAGAGAGAGAGAGGCACGATAAATCGGCCACCCCTGCTCTTGTCTCGCTTCAAAAGAATCTGTTAGAGAGAGAGAGGGAGAGGGAAAAAAAGCAGGGAGCAAGACCCACACGATGTAGTTCCAGCCAATTGCATTCCAGAGAAGTGACCACGGCTGGAGATAAACAATGCACAATAGATCATGCTCCTCAAAAGGTATAAAAGAAAGGCAGATGCCGCAGGAATAAGGCAACAGCAGGAGAAAAGAAATAATCCGCGTTTCTCCGGCAATTCCGAAAAGCATAATTGTTTAAATCCTTTATTCAGGATTGCTATTAACCCTGTGCGCTGAACGGCTGCAGCAATCTGCATGTGACGGGAAAGAGAAACCTCTCTCTCTCTCCCTCTCTCTCTCTCTCCTCCCTATGTGAGGTTGCCAGGCTCACCCTCTCCAAACCACAGCCACAGCCAAAATCGCTTTAAATTGTTCCTCAGTCGCAAACAAAAAAAAACATTTAACACTCACCCATTGTGCGGGGACTGATCTCTCAAGCACTCTAGCAACCCGTCAACACAAGCTCAGATATCCTTCCACAGATATGTAAACAGCCCACTAAGATTTCTTTGTTTGGATTTTGAAGCTGGGTAGGTTTGCCTTTGCTGCGCTTGCTTTTACAGCTTAGAAGCAGGTGGATGACAAAACATCAATCTCTCCAGGCACAATGTGTAGCACGCACGCTTGACACTCTACACAAGCAATATACAATCACACACTCCAATACAGGGCTCTCAGCTGTAATGATGTCTGTTTGCTTAAAGGCAGCTTTACTGAATATTTCAGCATTTGTGGACAAAAACAACACTGCATAGGTTTAATGAAAGTGGAAACATTTCCCAAAACATCAATCCACAGATGTGTATTGTTTGTGGAGGAATGTGACAAGGGCAGAGGTAAGTTATTTTTCATATTTAATACTCACAATTTTTATTTGCAAGACATGGGTTATAACCCAAAACTTATATTAACACTTAGAAAAGGAACATTTCACACTTGTAACTGAGAAGTTTGATAAGCACTGATTATTACCCAGGGTAAGAAAACCCTGCTCTGCGTCACGGTTAGTGTAGCTTTTGTTAAGTTATCTATGCATTGCATTACCAAATATTTGCAGTTTCTGTTAAAAATCAAAAATTTGTTGCTAGTATAGTTAGATTTCTTACTGGTGAATGCTACATTAACTTTCCTAAAATTCCCAGCATGACACTTCACTTTTTATGGTTATTGTTTATTTGACATTACTATGGTTCGTTTTAGGGGGTCCATTCATTCATGCAAATTCGAGTTTTATATTACATCTAATGTTGATCAATAAGGTGTATTACTTGTGCCATGTGTTTTACCGTGATGGTATTTAATATACTAAACTAGGCACATCATAATTTTGCCAAGGACGATGTGATCCTGGATTAATGGTGTAAAGAAACAAATTACAAATACTCAAATTACTGTAATTGAGTAGTTTTTCTCAGGAATTTTAAAAATGTGTACTTTTAATTTGCCTTGGATACATTTTAGTGGCTTATCAGTACTTTTACTCCACTACTTTCTTTTAACCTGTAGTCACTACTTTGTTTTTTCCTCGTCTATGGGGATCAGCTAAAATAATAAAATGATAATAATTTTGCATCATATTGAACAATGTTAAGACATATTTGGAAAGTGTGCAAGAAGATGCCCAAAATCGTTACACACAATGACCCAGGGGTTACCAAACTTGTTCCTGGAGGGCCGGTGTCCTGCAGACTTTAGCTCCAACCCTAATCAAACACAACTGAACAAGCTGATCAAGTTCTTAAACTGCGGTCACACTAGGTTTTTCCTCCTATAGACTTCCATTCATACATACACGAATACGTCAGACCAAAAAAGCAGGGTCATGCGTCAAGTATCGCAGGTTGCTGCTGTGCAAAGTTCAAGCTTGGTGAACTCTGACCTGCGAAATCGCATCACTTGACTGCGTGAGAACATCCGAGGATCAAAACATGACGTCTCTGGACAGAAATATTGAAGCATGGAGCCATCGCTTGCTTTTTTTAATGTCTAATAATCTTGTTTAATCCTGCCCCTTTTCGCAGCACCGCACGACAGAATTTAGCACACACAAACTCTAGTGTGACCGTAGCTTTACTAGGTATACTTGAAACAACCAGGCAAGTGTGTTGAGGCAAGTTGGAGCTAAACCCTGTAGGGACACCAGCCCTCCAGGACCAAGATTTGTGACCCCTGGTAGACTATATGTCACTGATGAGAAGATGACGGATGTTTATTGTATGATGACTGAAATCGACAAGTGAAGACTATAGATGGAAAAACTCTAAATGGCGTTTGAAATTTTCTCCTCAAATGAGCATATTTGTCAGCCTATGTTTATGTTTAGTTATTTCACTTGAAAGGCAACTAAAAAAATGCATTTGTCACTATAAAAGTAAAATTAGTGAGCCCACATACAGAAGACTGAGACAAATACTAATTCTAGAAGAAAATATCAAATGGCTTTTAGAGGTTTTTGCATCTAAACTCTTCAAATAGTCTTAATAACTATGCACTACAGAATGTTACGTTTACATATGGCTGGACAAATTGCATGTAAATGCATCAGCTTTTCACAGCGTAATACTACTCTAGAGTACTTTTAAAAGGCTACTTTTTACTCATACCTTAAGTAATATTTACAACAGATACTTTTACTAATGGGACTTTAGTAATGTAATGTAAAAAGTAATGGGACTTTTACTTGAGTTTGGTTTTTCAGTACTCTTTCAAACACTGTCCTGGATTAACATCTATGTTAATCCTGAAACATAATTTTTGCTCGTTAATGTAATCCACACCTATTTCCTACCCCTAAACCCAACCATAAATGTAAATTATTCCCAAAATCAAAGGAAAATAATAGTTGGATACAATCGCGTAGAAGTGCATGAACCTAACAGTAAAAGCCTGGACATAACATAAATGTTACCGTGTTTGTTATTGTGTTGTTCCAGGATCAACAAAGATGTCAATTCAGGAACATGTCCGGTGAAACCAGATTGGCATACTGTATACTAAACTAGTAAACCATTAATAAAGTTAGTGTTCTAAACACCATCATGGTAAAACACATGACACAATACACATCAGCATTGGATGTAACATAAAACTCTAATTGTGGGCATGATAAATTTTACCTTTACTTTTCAGATCTTTATTCAGTTTGTTTTATAGTTGGGCTTGATTAACTGAATATCTACTATTTCTGTGTCAGTGCCACAGCAATACAAACAAGGACATTAGCCTGCCATTTAGAACTTTATTCATTTATTTATTTTACATTTTTTTGTGGCTGCATGGTGGCGCAGTGGGTAGCACGTTCGCCTCACAGCAAGAAGGTCGCTGGTTCAAGTGTCGGCTGGGTCAGTTGGCGTTTAATGGAGTTTGCATGTTCTACCCATGTTCGCATGGGTTTCCTCCGGATGCTCCGGTTTCCCCCACAAGTCTAAAAACATGTGGTACAGGTGAATTGGGTAGGCTAAATTGTCTGTAGTGTGTAAGTGTGAATGAGTCTGTATGAATGTTTACTGTAAGGCATCTGCTCTGTAAAGCATAAGCTGGATAAGTTGGTGGTTTATTCTGTTGTGGCGACCCCAGATTAATAAGCCAAAAGGAAAATGAATGAATAAATAAAACACTTTTTTAGTCCTTAATAGGTAAACATCATTGTTTGCATATTTGCTATGCACTGACAAGTGATAAACACCCTGAATAATTGTTAAACGTTATATGATAACTCGGTATAAAACGTTAAGTATGATAACCCTGGGTTCACAAAGGAAATCTGATGTCAGAGGAAAAACTGATATGATCATATATGGGCACACTGGTATCTCAAGTCAATAGAATCACTGTTAAAGAAACCAGTCCATGTTACAAATAATAGCTATTCAAATAATACTTCAACTTTTTTCAGCAACAACTAATTTATCATTTTCTTATAACAACCATTTACTCATTCTCAACTTATTCCACGTGTTTGATTTTCTCTCTGCTGATCAACACAAAAATCAGACATTTTGAAGCATGCTGAAAACCAATACACATTGCCTTCTGCTATTTTCCCTAATGATCTAAACGGTCTAAAGGAATTTTGTCACTTGACACTTTTGCTTTAACACATTTTAAGTTAAATTAAAATAACTAAATTTAAATGTATTATTGATAGCAATAACATATTTCTAACTTGTTTAAGCATTGCAATGCATATTATAATGACGATCAGGTGCGTGGCCGTTGTTTTGACCTACCTGTTAATCTTGACTTTCCTGCAACACTTATCAACAATGACTGATCTTAAACTTCTTATTTTTTGTTGCAAAATTTTACAAGATGTTGAGCAATTCTGGTGAAGTAGTTACACAGCTGACAAACAAGCAATGATTTGTCCCCCGTTTAACAGGAATTAATTAGTTAAATTATTCTTCTTCTGCATGCGTTTATTGGCGTTTGGCAAACTTGTTGGCACACTACCGCCACTGGCTGTCAATTGCTGCACACTTCAGCTTAAATAAAGTTTGGTCATTCAAACTGCAGTGACGTTGGCGAGGCTTGAGTCTTTCCGCGGGAAGTTACTTTCGCTTTGCTAGGTTCACAGCGGAAGAAGATTATTACAGCAGCGATTGACTGTTTTCCGCAACAACAACAAACAGCACGCTTTTGTCGGTGTTTTTTTAGTTTGATGTCTAGTACTATCGAATGCCGTTTCAGGTACTTGGTTAGCGGTATTTATATTCACGTTGTGGTTTGCCATAATTCTTGTTCATCATGAGCTGCTTGCTGATGAGAGACAGCCCTTTGATCATTGCGCTAAATAAAGAGAAGACGCTCTATGACGGCTTCATCACAGTGCTGGTAAGGACAGTTTCATCTTGACTACGACACTGCTGTCAGCTCTGTTTACAGTGGGATTATGTAATGCCATGTGAGTTGTGCAGTTAGTATTTATTGGTAAACCGACTGTCATGAGCGCCTTATTGTTGATATTAAATCTTTAATAGGAAAAAGACTTCAGGATAAGAATATCTCTACCCCCTGATCATCAGATGAAACGAGCAAAGTATGTTTAATGCACTATATTTTTTATTTTTTTATATTTGTTTATGTGTAAATGGAGTATGTCCTGTATTTATTTGAGTGACTAGTAAGGATACTACAGTAGCTGCATAAAACAAATATAAAGAAAATTCACCCTTATAATATAGTAATAATAATAATAATAATAAACAAATATGTTCTATATTGTCTAAATAAATGTTATAATGCATAATTAAAACATTATTTTTACATTTGACATATTTTATATCTTTATTTTTTTTTTACATTTTTAATTTTGACATAGTTATAAAGAGTGAGTGAGTCAATGAATAAAATAAAAATAAAACAATAAATAAAGCATAAATAAAATATGTGCAAAATCTACATAATAGATTGTTGTTCAAATACATTTCACACTTGACCTTTGTACTTTTCTTAATAAAATTACAAAATTGCTTTGATATCAGTGTTACATTTCTGAAATTAGACTCAATTTAATATCTGTAATTGTGTATATGTTTACATAACTTGCATATGTTATATTGTGGAAGAATAATTTAGTAAGGTAGCAAGTTTAGTAAGTTTGTTCCTCGATAAGGAATTTACTGTAATTTATTATTATATACAATATATTGTACATTATATATTGTTTACCATCAGTATCGCAATGTGTGAGTCCGCAATTTATTAATATGGGGTCACCACAGTGGAATTAACCACCAACTTATCCAGCATAGGTTTTTATGCAGCGGATGTCCTTCCAGCTGCAACCCATCTCTGGGAAACATCCATACACACTCATACACTACGGACAATTTAGCCTACCTAATTCACCTCTACCACATGTCTTTGGACTGTGGGAATAACCAAAGCACCCAGAGGAAACCCACGTGAATTCAGGGAGAACATGCAAACTCCACACGGAACGCCAACTGACCCAGCCGAGGCTCAAATCAGCAACCTTCTTGCTATGAGGTGACAGCACTACCTACTGCGCCACGCCGTTGCCTGTTGTCATTTCAGTTTTACCTTAAAAAAGTGAAAGTTTATCAGCTGTGTTTTAAAGGCCTGTCCAAGCATTTTACTTGAGTTAATAGCATTTGTGAGCAAGGAATTATTGCTTTTTGTAGCTTTAACGAAAATGTATTTTATTTAATTATGTATAAAATTTAGACTATATAGCTTTATTGTACATTTGATTATTTTATTTCTGTAACTGAATACTGTTATACTCCTTCTTTTATATTATTTCTCTACAGATTTTATCTATGCTGCTAATTAGTCTATTATATTTTCTGCAGATGCACTCCTCTACAAAATCGTCCCATTCAATATAAATGTACAAATTATTTCACAATATAGCTATTCAAGTTATTTGGTGAAATATTGCAATATAAAAAAAATCACAATGGAAGTTTTTTTTTTCTTTTTTTTTATATTGTGCATCCCTATTAATTATTAACATTATTGTCTTTGTTTTACAGATTGCATTGTTGTTGGCAAATGAAGCGGCTACTTCATGGTTATCAACATATTGTGAAGCAGGTACAATAAATCAAGTGGAAATAGTTTGCAGCTATTACACATCATTCTAGAAATACATCTTAATTAACGCATAATGTTTGTCAAGGGGAGGGGAAAAGCCATTTTCCATATGCCTCTTGGGTAAAATGATTAGATTTATTATTTGCCCTGCCTAGATTTATGTGGCACCCTAACTAGTTAAAGTTCATTATTTTTTTATGAATTTAAAATGACTAATAATTAACTCCTATGGTCACTCGCATTAGTTAAATTACAGGTGCTGCTTTTGATATTCTGTTTGAAAGAATTTAATTATAATATTTGTATTTTAATTTGCTTTTTTTTTTTTTACAGAGATTACAGCATTCAACTACTTTGATGGCTTTTATCCTGGAGCTCAGGACAGTATTGGTAAATATTGCTCGTTTTATCCCTCTGGTTGAGCATTACCATATTCATGTTGACAAATGTTATACATGATCTCATATTCAGCATCATATTACCATAATAAGCACATGAGTCCTGCAGATTGAATAAATGATTTTCATTACGAACTTGTCTATTATCAGGAAGTGGCATTGAAGAGCCAACCAGGATGTCAGTCCTTCTCACCACCTCAGTATTATTCGCAGCTGATAACAGAGATGGAGATCTTGGGATGGGATAAGTATGTTCTCCGAGGTTCACGTTGCACAATGTTTCCCTCTAATAACATGCAGGACAACTCTTTGCATTACAATAAATGCGTAGGACATTAATAGCATGTACTTCTGTCATTAACTTGCTGTAGTTTTTCATAAAAACATTGTGTCACGTTTCTTGCTTCATAATAAAGAAGGCTAATGTGGTGTCTGTCAGCCATGTATCAAGCTGCGATTTCACCAGGCTTCTCATTTTCCACTTTCTATTAATGTCCAAAGATATAATTATGATATTAGCAAATGCAAATTGGTCTAATTGGAGACCCACTCTCAAGTTTAATGGGGAAATGTAGGCTGAAAAGTTAGGCTGGAAATAAGGTGCACGTTTCAGACCTGAATTGCGGTCAGAAGTATTATACACCAGCGCTATCTGTAAATGCACTTGAGATTAATTAAGATCCTTAATTCGTGTCTCTGTTAATAGCCTCAAGTCCGGCACAGTTGTGGACCCTGATTGGTTTAGGAAGGGGGAAGTGCCGCAGAACCTGGTCATTTTAATGAGTTTTAGTTGCCTTGAAGAAGCCACATTTACTGTTAATTACTGTATAGATGAGGTCAGGTCTGTTCTCCCCTCTTATCCCTGTATAAGTTCAAAAGTGCCAGATATTTAGGAAATTACAAAACATCAGTCTCTGGCTGCTTTATAGTGCTGTGTAAGTGTGCTATTTGGAGTATCGCAGCAAAGTGTTAGGTCATAAGAAAATGAGAGTTGAATATTTTGACTTTGATCCCATTTTGCTCCCATTTTACTGTGAGATATTACGTTTGGTCAGACATCGTCATCTGAAACTGTTGAGATTTTTTTAGACAATTGGTGCATGGGAGCCGTGGTGAGAGGTTGTCACACCTTGCACATGTATGAGAGAGAAGCGTCGGGCCTCTCGCTGTGGTCTTTTAACACCCCGCCAAGATAATGACACCTGAGCAGCTTTCCTATTGGCTGGTCTTCTCACCGTCTCACTCTAGCCAGCAGTTATATCTTAAAACCCATGATCCCTGGTGGCACCTGTGAGAATGGAATAACTGTACTATTTTCAGCAGCTGGCTTTTTGCATATCTGGAAAGTTGTGATGAGAAGTGGCCTTGACGGTATTACGGTTTGTGTTTTCCCCCTCTTATTCTTTGGGAATCTCTTCTTCTCTTTTTTTCTTGCCGTTTTATGCTTTCATCTGTAGCCTGTTTGTATGCAAACATGCCAAATGTTCCTTCGCCATTTATGAGGGGAGCTGATTTTCTAGTTGCAAATGTAATGCTCTCATCAATCCTCCCAGCAAGACATCGAGCCGTCAAGCTGTTTCAATCAACTGAGGTGAACGCCAGCAAGGCCTGATACTGTGGCAGGAGATCCCTTTAGAATGCAGAGTGGCTGAATGGGGTTCCAGCTCAGAAAAGAGATCTCAATTTTGAGGAAATGAATGATTGGTGTGATTTTGTGCCAAAAGCTCATGTAATTGAATGTGATGCAAAAGATTCTTCCCGTTGCTTCGTGTATTGTGAGGGTGAGAAATACACTGAGCGGTTAGGACACAGTGGAGCAGAGGAAGAGGCTTTGCAGGTAGAATTTTTGCAGATTGTGTCCACAAATGCTTCCACCCATGTTACCAACATGGGTTCTTAAAATAAGCATAGGCATAAACATAGACAATCATTGCATAAAACAAAAGTTGTCTTTACTGGAATGATGTACACTTACTGACCATTAGGTTTGCCTATCTAGTAGCAGCTTTGACCCCATTTTGCCTTCATAACTCAGAGGTTTTTTTGGGCCCATATTAGCTTGATATTATCACAAAGTCACCACAGATTTGTCAGCAGCTCATTCAAAATAGGAATCTTATAGATACTCTATTGGATTGAGATCTGGTGCTTGTGGAGGCCATTTGAGTGTAGAGAATTGTTAAATGTTCAAGAAACCAGTCTCAGATGATTTGAAATTTATGACATGGCATGCTATCTTGCTGAGGCCAGCACACACAATGTTCTGAATTGGTACTAAAAAATCCCAGGAAAATAAATGTCTGCCATATTGTTTCATCACCAGCTGGAAGAATCTTTGATACAGAACAGGATGGACTTATGTTTCATGTTGCTAACACTAAATTCTGACCCTACTGTCTAAATGTACAGTAGCAGCAGAAATCAGACTAAAATCAAGCAGCCCTTTTTGTTTGTTAGACTGATTTGAAACAGTTAATAAAACAAATGTTTGATTGATAGACACTTGATTATAATATGTAGTAATAGAAATGTGAGCCAACAGAAAGTGTCAGCGAGATCTTCTCCCAGTAAGTGTTGAAGGACAGAATGTGGATATTGTATGTAATCTGACTGTTTTTGCCAATGGGAACACTCAGAGCAAAGTGTGCATGTATGGACTAACCACAACATGCTGTGTTATATGACTCGTAAGTAAGCTGCTGAAGCAAGAGTGTGTCATGTGAAGTGCTGGAACATTAGCAGACATAAATCTGCTGTGGTTAATGCAGATGATTGAAGACTTTCCATACTGTTTGCTGGGAGAAAGGGTTGTATATGTCTGCTTAGCATCTTTCAATTAAAAAAGGAAACCATAATATATTTTTTTTCTATTTGGTCTTTGGCTGATTTATTTGGAGAATGAAGCAAATTCACATGCAGTACTTCTATTTTTCTTTTAAAAATGTTCTGTAAGTGTTGTCTGTTGGCCTATTTGATGCATATTGTATTTGTTGTCTTATGGTGCTGTTGATGTGTTTCGGCAGACTGCTTTTCATTGATGCAGAGTTTCGCACACTCCAGCTGAAGGCAGAGGACTCTGCAGGTCGTCAGCATGCCATTACTGTAAAACTCAAGTCCAAGGTAAAGTGTCAACTCCTGATTTTATTTTATTTATTTTTACGATATTTGTAAGTCAGGTGACAATGTTATTATATGAAATAATACAAACTGATGCATTACTCTCGGCTTCAGTGTCACATGACCCTTCTGAAATAATGGAACAAATATATCAATTAAAAACTAGATATTAAAGTTTGAGGACAAACTTTATGGTGGCTTGAAAAGCCGAATCTCAAAGTTTGAAGTGGTTTTAAAGTGTAAATAGAATGTTAGTATGATTTTAGCTTGAGTTAACATATTACTAGCATGAATTAGCATGTTAGTAGCATGATTCTTACATGAATTAGGATGTTGTTAGCATGATTCTAGCATGAATTAGCATGTTACTAGCATGATTCTAGCATGAATTAGTATGTTGTTAGCGTGATTCTAGCATGAATTAGCATGTTACTAGCATGATTCTAGCATGAATTAGCATGCTACTAGGATAAATCTAGCATGAATTAGCATGTTAGTAGCATGATTCTTACATGAATTAGCATGTTGTTAGCATGATTCTAGCATGAATTAGCATGTTACTAGCATGATTCTAGCATGACTTAGCATGTTGTTGGCATGATTCTACCATAAATTAGCATGTTACTAGCATGATTCTAGCATGAATTAGCATGTTGTTAGCATGATTCTAGCATGAATTAGCATTTTACTAGGCGGTTGCTAGGGTTTTTTAAGTGGTTGCTAGGTGGTTGCTAAGGTGGTGCAAGGCAGTTGCTAAGGTGGTCTGACTAGTTGCTAGGTGGTTGCTAAGGTGTTGCTAGACGGTAGCTAGGGTGTTTGAGTGGTTGCTAAGGTGGTGCTAGGCAGTTGCTAAGGTGTTCTGACTAGTTGCTAAGTGGTTACTAAGGTGTTGCAAGGTGGTCGCTAGGGGTTTTCTGAGTGGTTGCTAGGTGGTTGCTAAGATGTTTCTAGGCGGTTGCTAGGGTGTTCTGAGTGGTTGCTAAGGTGTTGCTAGGTGGTTGCTAAGGTGTCCTAAGTGGTTGCTAGGTGGTTGCTAGGGTATTCTGAGTGGTTGCTAAGGTGTTGCTAGGTGGTTTCTAGGGTGTCCTGAGTGGTTGCTAGGTGGTTGCTAAGGTGTTGCTAGGTGGTTGCTAGGGTGTCCTGAGTGGTTGCTAGGTGGTTGCTAAGGTGTTGCTAGGCAGTTGCTAGGGTGTTCTGAGTGGTTGCTAGGTGGTTGCTAAGGTGTTGCTAGGTGGTTGCTAAGGTGTCCTAAGTGGTTGCTAGGTGGTTGCTAAGGTGTTGCTAAGCGGTTGCTATGGTGTCCCAAGTGGTTGCTAGGTGGTTGCTAAGGTGTTGCTAGGCGGTTGCTAGGGTGTTCTGAGTGGTTGCTAGGTGGTTGCTAAGGTGTTGCTAGGTGGTTGCTAAGGTGTCCTAAGCGGTTGCTAGGTGGTTGCTAAGGTGTTGCTAAGTGGTTGCTAAGGTGTTGCTAGGCGGTTGCTAGGGTGTCCTAAGTGGTTGCTAGGTGGTTGCTAAGGTGTTGCTAGGTGGTTGCTAGGGTGTTCTGAGTGGTTGCTAGGTGGTTGCTAAGGTGTTGCTAGGTGGTTGCTAAGGTGTCCTAAGTGGTTGCTAGATGGTTGCTAGGGTATTCTGAGTGGTTGCTAAGGCGTTGCTAGGCGGTTGCTAGGGTGTCCTGAGTGGTTGCTAGGTGGTTGCTAAGGTGTTGCTAGGCAGTTGCTAGGGTGTTCTGAGTGGTTGCTAGGTGGTTGCTAAGGTGTTGCTAGGCGGTTGCTAAGGTGTCCCAAGTGGTTGCTAGGTGGTTGCTAAGGTGTTGCTAGGTGGTTGCTAAGGTATTCTGAGTGGTTGCTAAGGCGTTGCTAGGCGGTTGCTAGGGTGTCCTGAGTGGTCGCTAGGCCCTTACTAAGGTATTAATAGGCCGTTGCTAGGTGGTTGCTAGGCGGTTGCTAGGGTAATTTGGGTGGTTGCTAGGCAGTTGCTAGGGTACCCTGGTTGGTTACTAGGCAAGCCTCACATACATGCTTGATAAAACATTTATACTTAGTAAGCATGTCTAGCAAGTTACAGTACTTGGCTAGTCAATATTAGCATGTAGCTAGTCACTGCTAGCATGTGTAGCATATAGGATGTTCCGTTTGCTAGCATGAGTCAAACGAGCCAATCTCCAAGTCTCTACGATGTTCTGATGCTGAGATATAGCTGTTGATGAATGGTTGCTAGGGTATTCTGTTTTGTTGCTATGGGCGAGGTTACAGAGTGAACTTGAATGTGGTTGGTTGTCTTAGTCAAAGAACCAACCCCCATGTCTCTATGACACTGCTTTGCAAAGATATGCATCTTGGCCTATTTTAATGGAAGTCTACGGGACAGTTGCTAGGGTGCAGTATGTGGTAGTTAGGGGTGTGGCTAGAAAGTTAAAAGCTCATCAGTTATTGGCAGTTTGGTAGTCTGAGTTAAATGAGCTCAGCCATTAGTCTGTATGACAGTCTGATGCAGAGTTATGAGCTCACAAAGTTTGATCCCATGTTAAGTCAATGAGAGTCTTTTGTAATGGAAGTCTACGGGACAGTTGCTAGGGTGCAGTATGTGGTAGTTAGGGGTGTGGCTAGAAAGTTAAAAGCTCATCAGTTATTGGCAGTTTGGTAGTCTGAGTTAAATGAGCTCAGCCATTAGTCTGTATGACAGTCTGATGCAGAGTTATGAGCTCACAAAGTTTGATCCCATGTTAAGTCAATGAGAGTCTTTTACAATAGAAGTCTACGGGACAGTTGCTAGGGTGCCATAAGTGGTTGCTAGGGAGTGGCTAGTAAGTCTAAAGGTCATCAGTGATTGCTACTGAGTTGAATGAGGCCTGACTCTAGTCTGTAGGACAGACTGATGCAGAGTTATGAGCTCACAAAGGTTGACTCAATGTTAAGTCAATGGCAGTCTTTTACAATGGAAGTCTATGGGACAGTTGCTAGGGTGCCAAAAGTGGTTGCTAGGGAGTGGCTAGTAAGTTAAAAGGTCATCAGTTATTGGCTGCTGGCTAGACTGAGTTAAATGAGCCCAGTTAGAAGTCTGTAGGACAGTCTGATGCAGAGTTATAAGGTCACAAAGTTTGACCCAATGTTAAGTCAATGGGAATTTTGGGAATTTTCCGGGTCGTTTTTCGGAAAACTGAAAGTCGGATCAGTCGGAAAAGATATAGCAACCCGAGTCAGACCAGTTTGAAGGTTTGACGAAAGTTTGAAGTATGAAGCTTGAAAAGTTTAAGAGGAGATGCACTTTAAAATTAGTCTCAGAAGAATAAGAAGAAGAAGAAGAAGAACTAGATTCTTAAAGTTTGAGAACAAACTTTGAGGCTGGCTTGTGAAAGCCTGACGGTAATAGTTTATTTAGTTTAAACAGTTTTAAAAAGTATGAAAAGATAGATAGATAGATAGATAGATAGATAGATAGATAGATAGATAGATAGATAGATAGATAGATAGATAGATAGATAGATAGATAGATAGATAGATAGATAGATAGATAGATTAGCATGTTATTACCATGATTTTAACGTGAAATAGCATGTTGTTAGCATGATTCTAGCATGAATTAGCATGTTACTAGCATGATTTTAGCATGAATTAGCATGTTGTTAGCATGATTTTAGCATGAATTAGCATGTTACTAGCATGATTTTAGCAATAATTAGCATGTTGTTAGCATGATTTTAACATGAATTAGCATGTTGTTAGCACGATTCTAGCATGAATTAGCATGTTACTAGCATGATTCTAGCATGAATTAGCATGTTACTAGCATGATTTTAGCATGAATTAGCACAATTCTAGCATGAATTAGCATGTTGTTAGCATGATTCTAGCATGAATTAGCATGTTGTTAGCATGATTCTAGCATGATTTAGCATGTTACTAGCAAGATTCTAGCATGAATTAGCATGCTACTAGCATGATTCTAGCATAAATTAGCATGTTGTTAGCATACTTCTAGCATGAATTAGCATGTTACTAGCATGATTCTAGCATGAATTAGCATTTCACTAGCATGATTCTAGCATGAATTAGCATGTTACTAGCATGATTTTAGCATGAATTAGCACAATTCTAGCATGAATTAGCATGTTGTTAGCATGCTTCTAGCATGAATTAGCATGTTGTTAGCATGATTCTAGCATGATTTAGCATGTTACTAGCAGGATTCTAGCATGAATTAGCATGTTGTTAGCATGATTCTAACATGAATTAGCATGTTACTAGCATAATTCTAGCATGAATTAGCATGTTGTTAGCATGATTCTAGCATGAATTAGCATTTCACTAGCATGATTCTAGCATGAGTTAGCATGTTGTTAGCATGATTCTAGCATGAATTAGCATGTTGTTAGCATAAATTAGCATGTTGTTAGCATGATTCTAGCATGAATTAGCATGTTACTAGCATGATTCTAGCATGAATTAGCATGTTGTTAGCATGATTATAGCATGAAGTAGCATGTTACTAGCATGATTCTAGCATGAATTAGCATGTTGTTAGCACGATGCTAGCATGAATTAGCATGATACTAGCATGATTCTAGCATGAATTAGCATGTTACTAGCATGAATCTAGCATGAATTAGCATGTTGTTAACATGATTCTAGCATGGATTAGCATGTTACTAGCATGATTTTAGCATAAATTAGCATGATTCTAGCATGAATTAGCATGTTGCTAGCATGATTCTAGCATGAATTAGCATGTGACTAGCATGATTCTAGCATGAATTAGCATGTGACTAGCATGATTCTAGCATGAATTAGCATGTAACTAGCATGATTCTAGCATGAATTAGCATGTTGTTAGCATGATAGATAGATAGATAGATAGATAGATAGATAGATAGATAGATAGATAGATAGATAGATAGATAGATAGATAGATAGATAGGTAGAGGTAGATAGATAGATAGATAGATAGATAGATAGATAGATAGATAGATAGATAGAAGTAGATAGATAGATAGATAGATAGATAGATAG